GTAAAACAATGGGGCGCATGATGACCATGCGACACAACTTTTGATATATTCCTTTCGTAATTGTAATGTACATAATGCTGTCTGATATACGTAATATTGACGGTTCAACGATGTATATTTGAATTAGTATTTTATTGAAATACTACCTAGAATTTCAATAAAAGAATTTCGATATCAAAAGGGACTCTTAATTTAAAACACATTTAAACGTGATATTTCTACATTCACGTACAAAGATCGGTCATCATTATTGATAAAGAAATGTACACAAATTTTCAGGTAATGCTGAGCATATGAATCGGTCAGTATATAATATGTAAGTAGATAACCCGGCAGTGTATTGATTTTGCGGGGTATATCGTGATTGTAATGTCGTAAATTGAGTTTTACTCAGCTTGACCACGGAAAGAATCGATGATTTTAGATTATTCTTATCCGTTTTATTGAAATTGAGGCGTAATTGCATTAAAATTTCGAAGACACGTTTGATTATTAATGACATCACGTTCGTGACGTAATTTATACGCAATTCAACTTTGGGTCATTGACGTCATTAACTAGCGCTGTAAGTGATATCTGTGATAGTGTGAATATATTAAGCTTTAAAAGACAATCAAAAATATGTTTTTTCTTCACTGCATACAAAGCCGGAGATTTCCTGTTTAGATTCAGATGAAGTGTCGGCAGTTTTATTGAGCGGTTGTTTTGGTAGACACTCTACGGTTTTTACTAACCTACACAACTTGTGACATCTTTTGAAACAAATCTTACCATAAATATCAGAAAAAGACAGGACTGCGTCGAAGAGCCCATTCAAAATGGTACACAGCCTTGTTGTCGAGCATGACGTCATCAGAATAGGACGCCAAATACTATTACTATGCTGATACACGTGGTTCCCACAATATTTTGATATAGTAATAGTTATAGCTGTTGTAGGTCTTCGTGAAAAATACTGATATTCTACCAAACTCATGAAGTACTTGCATTTCAATTGTCATAAACCATTAAATACATATCAATTCTCCATATTCATTACATGTAATTATTGTCCGAATCTCGTTCTACATGTCCCCTCTTTACATAGGGTTTTAATTAATGTAGCGGAAAACATCTATCTTACTACCGGCATACTGATTCTGAATTCAGATATTCAAAAAATCTTACATAGAAATATAGATTAAGACATTATAATGGTATGTACCTGCCGAATTAACACAGAAATTAACAGATCTATGCATACTGTTTAAATGTCTTACTTTATATTACAACCCTTTGGCTACTTCACACTTAACATTACTAGTGCGTTCTGGTTTACAGCTCCTTCAATTATTAAATATATTATTCTCTCCACCATCTTTTCGATGTCAGTGATATGATACCGAGTTTTTACTCCCAAACCTGGAAGGGTTACCCCCCCTCCTACTGCCAAATACTAATTTGCTGTTTTCATAGATTTACTGTATGTGGAATATGTCCAAGGCGAAGCGTCAAGATGCAGGATCCAAACCCTCAGGAATTAAATCTGTCTTTATAAACTCGTCTTTACCCTCATTCAATCAACGTTTAGTTATACATGGACCAAGCAACCGAATTCGCCCTGCCCTCGGGCATTGAACCTTGAATATCCCTGTACTAAACTAAGTCAGCCGTTCTGCCCCTCGGGCATATAAACCTTGATATACCAGTACAAAACTAGGAACGACGTTCTACCCCTTAGGCATATAACCCTTGATATACCAGTACAACACTAGGAACGACGCCCTGCCCCTCAGGCATATAACACTTGATATACCAGTACAAAACTAGGAACGACGTTCTGCCCCTCAGGCATATAACCCTTGATATACCAGTACAACACTAGGAACGACGCCCTGCCCTCGAGCATATAACCCTTGGTATACCAGTACAAAACTAGGAACGACGCCCTGCCCCTCAGGCATATAACACTTGATATACCAGTACAAAACTAGGAACGACGTTCTGCCCCTCAGGCATATAACCATTGGTATACCAGTACAAAACTAGGAACGACGCCCTACCCCTCGGACATATAACCATTGGTATACCTGTACCAAACCAAGAGCGATGCCCTGCCCCGGGGATATATAACCCTTGGTATACCAGTACCAAACAAATTTACTCGGCCTTCTCGTTGGACATTTAAGATGTATTCATCCTGTCCCTCGGGCATGTGACCCTTCATTGTACCTGTACCAAACGCCGAAACCAATCCTCCGAATTTTAATTTTCTAATTGATAAATAAGATCCCTTACAGAAATGTAAATACCCACGATGAGCTGATTAGAGTCACATTCACAAAAATGTTTTACTACATTTTGTCGTCATATCAGTTATTTAATTATTCATGGAAACCGTGAGAGAGAGATAGAGGCAATTATTGAGAATTTACAACCTGGAGGTGACCTAGTCACAACTAATTACCATACACTTCTAGGTATCGCACCTCCTATCAGTGAAGAGTTCCACTCTCCTTCCGATGCAGATTGTATCCCACATACCCTTAAATCAAAAAGCAGATTTTTTGTGATTTATGTGGCCGGTCGACCTACCACGAATTACCTTTTATATACAATCACAGGTTCAAATGTTGCAGGAAGCTCCGATGTCGGTCTGTGTCATTGTGAGGGCTATGTGTGAATATCATTCTGGTTTCTTTGTCATGAACTACTCCTGATTTCGGTCAATGATTCTATTATTTTCTCCTGTTTCCAGTTTAATTTATGTCGTAGCAATAATTATCTCTCATTTATTCATTTGACTTCAATTCACCCCAAACTCCCACCCTTACCCGATTGTCTTCGTTCTAGTATAATGTTATATACATGTATCTATAAGACTAATGGTAATATTGGTAATTGCGATTTTCGTGTAACCGTATATTTTGACTTTTTAGCAATATCAGCGTCTCGACATTGCTGTATTTCTCATTCATAAGTTTCGATCCCTCCAATATACCAAAATCATATTCACTATGTATTAAATAGGATATTCGTATATTTCTGCTACGACTCTATGAATTGTGCCGCCATGAACACACATCCTCGGTTAGTTTAAAGACACGCTGGCTTGGCCATACGAACGTGGATTGGGAAATGCCGCCGTTGCCCGACCAGTAGTGATACAGGGAGTCTGCGGACCAACACCTTAGACATCTATTACTGTGTAAAATCCTCCCCACTATAAACACTAAGACTCCCTCCATGACAAATTTCCAATGATTCAGAAAAAATGGCAGACACAGATTGTATTGTTACTTAGTTCAACAATGGATCTGAAGATGGTCTCCTTAAGGGAACATTTTCCAGGAAATACGCCACCGACATATATTCAGTACTTTAATAAACGACGAGAACAAGACGTGCAGTATTAAAAGTTTATTCATAAAACTCTTATACAGTTGTTCATTTCTGTTTCTATTGTTACAATGCCTTACTCTTAAATTCTGCAAATATACAGTCATTACAGTTGTTTTTTGTTGGTGCGGTACTCTTTTAGAAAAGTGACGTGGTTCAATAAAGTAAGGTGTACCATATATCCTTAAACCAATCTCAGCCTTATATGTTGGTTCCCCTTTTAACATCTCCGCCTGAATGCGTCCGCTCTTATATTACTTTGTACTGTATTAACCACTACGGTAACCTCGACCAGAAGTGTTACGCCATGACTCCAGAGGTCAACAGTGTCGATATTTTGGTTTCAGACCTATCAAACTTTTAACTGCTTCTGCCACTGAAAACGTCTTGGCTTAATATTATTTAGTCAAACACCAAAGAAAACATTGGTTACAATAAAGGCTGACCGTTTTATTCAGAGCGTCAACTGCTACTTTCACCAATCAACTGTTAGAGTAACCCATCAACCTCTAGAGTGACCCGTCAAACGCTAGTGTCTTTCATCGGCCGCTAGTGTTATCCGTCAAACGCACGTGTAATCCGTCATCAGCTTGTATCACCCGTCAAATGCATGTGATATCTATCACCCACTGTTCTAATATGTCAACAAAATTTGTTATCCGTCAACTGTACGTGTTATCCGTCAACTGTACGTGTTATCCGTCAACCGCTAGTGTCAACATTCCTTCGCACGTGTAATTCCACAAGTGCTCGAGTCATCCTTCAAACGCACGTGCAATTCGGCAACCGCTCACCAGTCAACTGTACCGGTAGTTCGTCAGTGCTCAAGTCATCCTTGAAATGCACGTGCAATCTGAAAACTGATACTGTTACCATCGAGTCAACTGCATGTGTGATTCGTCAATCGCTAGTGTCACCCTTCAAACGCACGTGGAATTCGTCAATCGTAATGTCACCATTCAAACGCACGTTTAATTCGTCAAGAGCTAGAGTCACCCTTCAAACGCACGTGGAATCCGTCAACCTCTAATGTCACCCTTGCTAGGGTCACCCTTAAAATGCACGTGGAATCCGTCAACTGCTAGTGGAATCCGTCAATTACTCGTGTAATCCATGATCAGCACGTATCGCCCATCAACAATAGGTGTAATCTGTCAATATTCGTCTGCCATGAGTGTCAGCTCCGTAATGGTTAGGATAATGCTTATCAAGAACAAGTGAGGGACATCAAAGGCAGTATGCAAAGTACATGTAGCATATCACCTTAAGCATGATTCGTCTCGTTGATCGATCACAGCAGTGACCGCCGTTTTGCCTTTACATATTGGTTGTCTTTGCTGATTTCATGCTTTTAATGATTGATTGATAGGTTTTACGTCCGCTTCACTACCGCGTATTTCCGTAATCCAGCAGACAATTCATGCTTTTAAGAATGTGTGCCTTTAAGTAGCCTTATCTAATGCATGGGAGCGAGTTCCGAGTCCGCGGATAACTGGCGGTATAGTCCCATCCCCGTGTCCACTGGTAAAATAATTATACTATACATATAGGTGCCTCAGATCGGCATATTAAGTTACATCGAAAAATTATTGAGTCATTTTGGCGGAGTGAACAGGGCAAAGATGGCGACTGAGACCGCGCTCGGTCCTGAAAACGCTCGTCTGCTTGTAACTGGTGGGAGCCCATGTTATATTTCGGAACCTATAATTGCAGTTTTACTTTTCACGTTTCCTTTTTCTGAAGTAAATTATCAAACAATTTTCTAAATTACAGTAAAGGAAGATGGTATAAGATGAGATTGGGGACAGGGAGGGAATGGAATGGGTGTAGGCAGGGGACGAGCAGACGACAACCGGGACACAAGGAGAAGGAAGCGTTAGGCAAGTACAGGTACTATATATGAAAGGACGAGGGGG